TGACCTAAGGAGTATTCCTTTTCCATATTGACCGGCGAAATATGTGTTCCCACACTCACCTCCGTTACCATTACCATTGCCATTACCATTACCGTAGTATCTATCTCAGTACGTATTGACATTCTATCCCCGTTATTTCACTATCATAGTACATTCGCGAATTGATCTGGTTCACCTACATGACAAAGGCCACAAACGATATTAATAATTAAATAATTAATTATTCTCATTGTTGTACGACATACAAAATGTCTAAAGTTTCCTTAAACAAAGACCATATAGCATATTCACACCATTTCAAAAAAATAAAAAAAAGACCATATAGCATATTCACACCATTTCACCTAACCATATATTGTCTGCACTGCACATTGATTATAAAACATTTTTTTGACTAGGTACCACTATATGCAAATATCTTGTACAATAACCTATACGACCTAAAACATCAACTCATTTCGTTGGAGTAATTTTTGGGTGTTCCAGGTACACCACGTGGCTGGTGTACCATCCAATAAACGAAGGACATATGAAATATTTCCAATACAGCCCGCCAAATGTCATAAAAAGAAATGCAGTAAGTTGGACAATAATTCCACATGTCCTATGTTATTGGATGGTATACCAGCCACGTGGTGTACCTGGAACATATAAAAATTTCTCATTTCGTTGAGTTATTGCCCAATTATCCATCTTCAACTTGGTTTTTACAGTATTCAACTATCGTCTTTTCAGTTTCTTGTCAAATCTCACCAGCTCACAAACTTAAATCTCTGTTTGGATTAGACTTAGAGGTTAGTTTTAAAGTTAATTTGGGGAAAGGAAAGGGCTTTGGAACGCATGCCTTGAGTTTGGGAGCCCCTTTTTTTCCCACCCGAAAATGCCCTCGAGTTTGATAGCCAGCTTCAAACTTTAAATTAGGATAACTTGACTTGCGTTTGAACATGGGCTGCAATTATAATATATGGATATTAATGAGTCGAGAGACAAAGACGAACAAGGCGAGGGTTTATCGTCATCATTCAGATGCTGTCGGAAGCGGCAAGGTTCCGAGCCATTGAGGGACTAGTCCGCACTACCATGCGGGAAGACTCCCCTTATACGAGGCCCTGCAATGGAGAGCCTGGATAGGATTTTCCTGCTTTTGATCCTTTAGTGAGAATGCCTGGACGTCCTCGTTTTCATGATGAATTTGAATTGGTTGTATACATCATGTCTTTTGTACTGTACCTCTGTTGTTTCCTTTGCTTTGGCTGACTCTTCCGTTTTGAGAGGTATGCAAGTCGTGTCGTGTTTAATAACTTAAAGCAAGGTTGTGTTCTTCAATCTTGTGCTTTGGCTCACTTTTACGATACGACCTAAAACCCTTTCAACACCAACAACCCAAATCCCAAAACATTAACAAGATGACGTACGTACCATACAGATGCTGCCATCCATCCAACCCACACACGCGACGAATCGACGGCTTCAAATTTAACCACATATTTTGAATATACTTTCTAGATATTAGCTGTGACAATGATATGTTTTGTCTTATTCCAAGTGGGTCTTCATCTATCCATGATATCTTGTCGACAATAACTATGATATTCAGAAGTTGATAAAGTACCAGTTTCGTTTAGAGAGACAAAGTCCAACAAGGCGACTGCAGCAAGCAACCCAAAGTCTTCAAGTAACAAAGATATTTTTAGCTACAATTTGCTTTATTCTTGCTTGTTAATCATCATAAGCCACGGGTGTAGCCAGCTGTTACTTTCTCTACTGTTATAAAAGCTGATACATGGTGTATTCATATTCATTCAGAAAATAGAGAGAATTAATCTTCATACAGTTTCTAGATCTCAATTTCTTTCTCATCATTTTCTTGTGTGTTGTTTCTCTGTTTGCTTTAACATGGCACTCGTCTTCTCCACCAGGAATGCAACCCCGCAGACATACCGCACCTTCATAGACGCTCTGCGACTCAGACTCACAGCCGGACGTCCCACATCACATGGTATACCGGTGCTGCCACGAAAAGAAGATGTGAAGGATGCGCAGCGCTTTCTGCTTGTTGATCTAACAAACTCTGAAAACAATACCATCACGTTGGCAATCGATGTGGTGAACGCTTACGTGGTGGGTTATGCTGCAGGTGGTCGATCCTACTTTCTTGCAGAAAATGCTCGTGGTGGGTTACGCTGCAGGTGGTCGATCCTACTTTCTTGCAGAAAATGCTCCTGACGATCGGCCTCCAATCCACGTCTTATTCCCCGGCACCACTCGGGTTCCTACTCTGCGCTTCAACGGCACCTACAGCGGGCTTGCGAGCGGTGCAGAAGAAGTAGTACGACGTCGGCGTGCTGGTAACCGTGACCCACATATAGATGAGAAAACACCTGTTCTTGTGCAAATCCCTCTGGGACGCTATCAACTAGATGAGGCCATTGGGCTGTTGCGGGCGGCGGTATCACAACCGGAACAAGCCTTAGGGTTTGTTGTGATCATTCAAATGCTTTCGGAAGCGGCA